GCTGAGGCAGGAGGATCACTGTGAGTTTGAGACCAGCCTGGGCTACATAGTGAGTTCCAGGTCAGTCTCAACTACATAGTGAGTGAGTCCCTGTCTCAAAAAGCCAAATAAATAAAAGAAGAAAAGGAAAAACAGAAAGAGCTCAAATAACCTAATGTTGAATGTCAAGCTTCTAGAAAAAGAGCAAGTCAAGCCCAAAGCTCATACAAGGGAGGAAGTTATAAAGATCAGAGCAGAAATTAATGGTATGGAAACTAACAGAACAGTACAAAGAATCAATGAATTAAAGAGTTGGTTCTTTGAAAAATAAAACTGACAAACCTTTAGCCAACCTTCTCAAAAAAAAGGAAAGAAGACTCAAATCCATGCTATTAGGAATGAAAAGGCTTGGGCTGGGGATTTAGCTCAGTGGTGCTTCCGCCTGTCTTGCAGTGCAAGGTCCCAAGTTCGATCCCTGCTACCAAAAAAAAAAAAAAAAAAAAAAAAAAAAAGAAAAGAAAGAAAAAGAAAAGGGTAAAATCACAACAGATCCTGCAGAAATCCATATCAATACCTACTATGAGAACCTGTATTCTATCTAATATGACGGAAAACATTGAAGAAATGGACAGATTCCTAGATACATATGAATTACTAAAGCTGAATCAAGAAGATATAAAAATTCTAAATAAGCAAAAATCAGTCAATGAAATTGAAGATGTAATAAAAAAAAAAAAACCTATCAACAAAGAAAAGCCCAAGGGCCAGGGATTTAGCTCAGTGGTACCACACCTGCCTTGCAAGCTCGAGGTCCTGAGTTTGATTCCTGGCACCAAGAAAAGAAAAGAAAACCCCAGTGTTGAGAGCCATTCTACATAAATGTTGGGGAAAAATTATTTCATAATTAAAATATGACTATAGCTGTTTAAGGTCCAGTGTTGCCTTGCCTGCATAGGGGATGTAGAAACATAACTCCATTTGCCTCCAGGCATCAATAGTCTATGAGGCTGTGGTGCTCAAGGGCAAGACAGCATCAGCTGAAGACACCCTGGTTCTTTGAGAATGGAGCAGTAATACAAAAACAGAAAGGCTTCACCTGGGGAGCTCAACTCATTCCACCTACTGAGCTATGAATACTCCCCTTCTGCCCTCATCAGCATGAGATTCGAATCCACATAGGATCACTGCTGCCCCCTAAGTCACTTGATATCCCCTCCAATTATTGTGTGTACCCAATAAATAATAGTTTTGAGAGTCCTTGTTTTTTTGTTTTTGTTTTTTTAGTACCAGGGATTAAACTCAGGACCTTGTGCTTATTGAGGTAGGTGCGGCTCCACTGAGCTAAATCCCTAGCTCTGGAGAGTTCTTGCTTTTACCCACTCTAAGGCACTGACCTTCTGGCCCCTCATATACTTTGAAGTTACGCAAGTTTCTATTGTCCTTTTTTCTTTAGCTCTTGCCGTCCCCCTTTCTAGACAGTTGGAGGATTGATTGGCCTCGGATAGCCCAGGCCCTGGGGAATTCACTTCAGCGTTCTACAAGAAATTTAGAGATGACCTTCTGCTGCTACTTCTCAAACTCTTCAATGAAATTGAAATGGAAGGAATACTCCAGAATTAATTCCTGGAAGCAAGCATTACCCCGATACAAAAACCAGAGAAGGAGCTTGGTATGGTGGTGCAGGCCTGTAATCCCAGCACTTGGAAAGCAGAGGCAGGAAGATCGCTGCAAGTTCCAGGCCAGCCTGGGATAGATACAGAATGAGTTCAGGGCCAGTGGTGCCACTGCCTGCCTCAAAAGCTCAAGGTCTGGAGTTAGATCCCTGGTACCAAAAAAAAAATCAGAGAGAAATTAGGAAACTCATACCTTTCATAACAGCTTCCAAGAAAAAAAAAAGAAAAGAAAAAAACACAAACGAAATACTTAGGAATCAATCTAAAGAAAGAAGTAAAAGACCTTTACATTGAACACTACAGTACTCTGAAAATGGGGATCAAAGAGGATATCAGAAAAAATATCTCTTGTTTTTGGGTAGGAAGAATCAATATAATGAAAATGGCCATACTTCCAAAACTCTTATGTAGATTTAATGCAATCTTGATCAAAATACCAATAGTGTATCTCACAGAATTGGAGAAAAACAATTTTAAAATTCACTTGGAACTAGAAGAGACCTAGAATAGCAAAAGCAATTCTGGGCAACAAAGGCAAGATAGCAGGCACCACAATCCCTGACTTAAAATTATACTGCAAAGCATCTGTGATTAAAACAGCATGGTACTGGAGGAGGGGAACAGGCCTAAGATCAATGGAACAGATTGGAAGATGCAGAAACAACCCCAGACATACTCAGCCACCTTATCTTTGACAAAGGACCCAAATACCTTCACTGGATGAAAGATAGCCTCTTTAATAAATGGTGCAGGTGAGCTGGGGATTTAGCTCAGTGGTTCTGGCGCCTGCCTCACAAGTGAGCACAAGGACTGGAGTCAACCAAGAAACAAAAAAAAAAAAAAAAAAGAAAGAAAGAAAAAAAAGATGCAGGAAAAACTGGTTTTCCACATGCTGAAGATTAAAACTTGATCCATATCTTTCAACCCGGGCTGAGTTAAAATTGAAATGGATCAAAGATCTAAATATTAAACAGAAACATTAGGCTGGGGATTTAGCTCAGTGGTGGCGCACAACTGTAATCCCACCACTTGGGAGGCTGAGGCAGGAGGATTGCTGTGAGTTTGAGATCAGCGTGGGCTACATAGTGAGTTCCAGGTCAGTCTCACCTACATAATGAGACCCTGTCTCAAAAAACCAAAACAAACAAACAAAAACCAGAAACACTAAGTTTTCTGGAAGATGGAATAGGTAAAACTCTTGAAGACATAGGTGTAGGCAAAACCCTGATTGTACAGGAAACATCACAAAGAATCAACAACTGAGATCGCATCTTACTAGAAAGCTTTTGCACAACAAAAATCACCAACAGTGTGAAGAAACAGCCCACAGCGTGGGAAAAAAATTTTTGTCAGCTGTTTCTCAGACAAAGGAGCACTATCTAGAATATATAGAGAACTCAAAAAAAAAAATCAGACCCACCTCCCAATTTAAATACTCAATCCACACATGGGCATCTGAAATGAATGCACACTTCTCAGAAGAAGTAGCAATGGCAAATAAATATATGAAAAAATATTCGCCATAACTGGTCATTTGAGAAATTCAAATTAAAACAATGCTATGATTCCATCTTACTATAGAAAGAATGGCTATTATCAAGACATCAATAATAAGTGCTGGTGGGACTATAGGGGAAAAAGGAACTCTGCTGTTGGTGGGAGTGTAGACTGGTGCAACCACTGCTGAAATAAGTGTGGAGATTCCTCAAAAAACTAAACCTAGAAGTTCCACCTAACTATTTCTATTCCCCTTCTTGATATCTTCCTGAAAGAATTAAAAGCATCATACCATAGTGATATAGCACACCCATGTTTATAGCGGCAGAGTTTGTAATAACTAAATTTTGGAAACAACCCAAATGCCCATCAACTGACAAATGGATAAAGATGTGGGGTTTTTGGCTGGGGATTTAGCTCAGTGGTTCCACCACCTGCCTCAAAAGCACAAGGTCCTGAGTTCGATCCCCAGTTCCCCCCCCCGCAAAAAAAGATGTGGGATTTTTATACAATGGAGTACTACTCTACTATAAAGGATGAGCTTGGCTGGGGGTGGTGGCACACACCTGTAATTCCAGCACTTGGGAGGCTGAGGCAGGAGGATTGCTGCAAGTTCAAGACCAGTCTGGGCTACACAGTGAGTTCCAGGTCAGTCTCAATTTCATAGTGAGACCCTGTCTATAAAACAACAACAACAACAACAACAACAACAACAACAAACGATGAGCTTGAAACATTTCTAGCTAAATGGATGCACCTTGAGACTATACTCTTCAGTGAAATAAATCGGGTATACAGGTTTAAATTGTTTTTCTGGTGTGAGAAACTGAAAGTGGAAATAAGGACAAAAATGTATAATAGATATTGGGAAATGAGAAGAAAATACTCAAATGAGGAGAACAACAGGGTTGTTAAGCGAGCAAGGAAGGAAGGGAAGAGGAAAAAAAGAATAGAAAGAAAAAGTGGAAACAGCTTTTGTAAATGAGGGGGAAAATAAAAAATAAGGAGGGGAAGAGGGTTGAAGAGAAAGGAGTATGGCAAAAAAGAACCAAGATATATCATGTACAGGTATAAATTCGCTATGGTGAATGGGGTTCTTATGTGTATCTAAAATGTATCAATAAAAATGTTTACCACCCAAAGACCCCCAAAGATTATAATGTATGGTGACAGGGATAGTCAAGGAAAGCCCCCAGCCAGAGAAGACCTAAAATAAACTATCCTGGGTGCTGTTTGAGCGGACACCAGAACTCCTAAACTTTAGGTCCAAGTGTTTCTTTTCTTTTTTGAGACAGGATTTCACTATGGAGTCCAGGCTGGCCTGGAACTCTCAGCGATCCTCCTGCCTCAGCCTCCTGAGTGCTGGGATTACAGGTGTGTGCCACTTTGCTCAGCTAAATCCAAGTTTTTCATGTCACTACCTGAAAGCTCCTGAGGGCGTGCCCACACCTTTCTTCCCACACTTCACCGACACCCCATCCTGGTTCCAAGACCCCTAGGGCTCCTGTCGTCCTCCTTTCTGGAAAAGCCTTTCGTGAAACGCTAAGAGAGGATCGGCGAGGGGTGTACAAAAGATCCGGGCAGGTGAAGGCGAGTGCAGGGGAGCAGCAGAGTGGTGCAGGCGCAGATCCGGCTCTCAGGTGCGGCCGGTGAGCTCCGCCGCCCC